CAGACTTCGTTTTGCAATCAGGGAGCGAGGCCAGGAGCCTCCCTGGCCAAGCGCCTTTTGCTCAGAGTCAGACTTCCAGAAAAACACAAAGCTTCACAAAGCCAGAGACATTTCTTAATGCTAGATAACCAATGCCTGGAAGCCAACAGCAGAGCTGGGCTCTCTGCAAGGAGGACCGGCTCCAAAAGGCACCACGAGGGCCCGGACCAGCCAGCAGGAGGGCTACTGGGAATGAAGGACGATGCCTGGAGGACCACCGCAGGGGATACAGAGAGCGCAAACAAGCAAGCGAGCGCGTGGCTTCTGATAAAGCTGTCGTACCCCCAAGAAAGAACTGCCAGAAGTCAGGAATGGGGGGTGCCCTTTGTGTGTAAAGGGGTGCATATGCATGGGAATAAATAAGCATCTTTTTTAGTATTATTATTATGCATCATCAAGTCATTTTCGACTCCTAGCGACCACAGAGAATAAGTATTTAGCCTCCAATTTATTCCCCGTCCAGTTCCTAATCGCCATTCGTGCTTTAAACCAGGGTGGTGCAATCTTTTTGGCAACTATAAACTACATGTTAGACATAGGGATATTTTTTGCCATGGGGGGCATCTTCTACCAGGCCAGTGAAAATAAAAAAATGAAAAATAAATCAGAGGATTTAGGGAGATATTTTTTAAGTACACCAAGCCCAACACAGTGGGCTTTTTTAGATGTCCTGTTAGAACCAGGCAGGAAATGTACCATTTATTTGCTTTTGGGCATTTGCTGGGAAATTTCAACGATGCAATGCTGAAGGGAAGGGAAGCCCTGCGGCTCCCTAAAATGCTCCACAGAAGGGCAAAGTCGTCTCCCTCGGTGGCTCTCAGGGCCAAAGGCAAGATGGAAACGTGATCAATGGCAAACCCTGACCACTGCAGTGTCCAAGAACGAATGAGCTCCTCTGACTGACCTTTGGGCTGGGAATTGAAAAACGGTCACCCTTTATTTATAAAAGGACGCAGGCAGCCTGATGCTTGTTCCCCACAAACTGGCAGAAACCACGATTAAAGATAGAATGATATACAGAAGTGCAAATGTTGCTGAAGGAGCTGAAATGTGGCTTCTTGCAAAGGCAGGTCCCGTCTGGCTAACCTTTTAGATTTCTCTGGAAATGTCAGCAAGCGGGCGACCGAGAGCCGTTCTTCAGACATGATTTATTGGGACCTCAAAAAGTCCTCAGAACAGGCTCCTGAGAAAATCCGGCACTTGTGGATCAAAGAAAGGTCCTCTTATTGATCGGGAACTTGTTAGGAAACAGAGGGTTAGAAGGAACGGGAAAATCTTGCAATGGAGGAAGCTAAAAATTGGGATTCTCCAAGGACCTCTAGTCCAATTAGAGCTCTTGAACTTACTTTTTTTTTTTTTAACACAGACCCAGTAAGGTAGCAAACGGTGTAAAGAAGCACAGAAAATGGGTGATCTAGTGAGGCGGCTCCACTATTTTTAACATCCTTTCGTCTATTATTTTCTTTTTCACTTGTTCTTTTTATATTTTTTGTATTTTCTAAATACATTTATTGATTGCTTTTTAACCTTGTTGCATGCCGCCTAGAGTTGCTTGGATAAAGGGAGATGGGCAGTTAAGAAATTGAGTAAATAAATAAATAACCATACAGATCTAGGCCCGTGAGGCTTGATGAACAGGGATGGGATAGTAGAAAAGCCCGTGGAAATTTGCATGCCGAATGCAGCTTCTTAAGAAGACACATTCCACGTTGGGAATCACTAGGGAAAGAATGAAAAATAAAACTGCTGATCAATGATTGCCTTTTCCCAAAGTGACTTGCATGCTTAAGGTACAGCATCCAGATGCTTTAGAGCAGTGTTTCTCAATTTTGGCAACTTTAAGATGCGTGGACTTCAACTCCCAGAAGGCCCCCCCCCCCCCCACCGCGCTGGGCGCGCCTGCGCGTTGAGGGTCACCACCCTCATAGTTGTG